TATATGCTACAAAAAACCACAAAATGGCCGGCAACTGTCTGCTGAGGTTTATTGACACGCTGATCACAAAAATCATACCCACAACCTAATAGAGCGATTTCTTAAGGTAGACATGAGATTGGTCATTCTTTATTCTTTCACTTAGATACTGACCGTTACCTTTCCATCGTAAAACTACCGTAATTCTATATGAAAGGTTTTGCGATGTGGATATGATTTTTATGATTGCTCGTCACCGCCGTAGGCCACTTTCCAGACAAACCGTATCAGTCCCTGTTGAATTTACCTACCGTAATCCTGCGGTGGGGGTCTATCGAGATGAATGGATATGATTTTTGTAAACAGCATGTCTGATTATCCCGCAGGGTAGCATTAATTTTCAGGCTTCTTGCATTTCAAAAACAACGTAAGCTTTCGTTTGGGCTTTTCTGGTCCTGCAAACTTCCATTAATCATTTTTAGCAGAAAAAAGCCAAGTACGCTATTTCTTAGTGTACTCTTCTTTGAGATATACAACGTGTTGCCAACATTTCGGCTTACAAATTTTTCAGTCTAAAAAAGGCACGAACATTAACTGCAACTCGATACACCCTCTAGTGGATCCTATAACTATTTCTTCAGTGTTAATATAAGCATTGTGAAATGTTCATTTGATGAAAAATGGCACATACATACTGGTAATAAGTGTAAATGTCTTTAGATCTCTTTGCACCACTTGGAGATGAGATGAGCTTCATGGATCGGGTCCAAAACGCGTTGATCTCTACAGTCACCAGTCTTGTCTATTCGCATAGTCGAGCAAGAGAGTCTAGAATATTTTGGGAAACGGGAGATTTGGAATTTGGAGAAGGTAAGACGGTTTTTTTTAATTGTAAAAATTGGAGGATAAGTAATCTACAGCAGCATCTTTGTAGTATATAATTTAATCTGGAGATAATAGGAGCCTTAAGTCATTAAATAGACAAAGCATCAGTCAAACTTCGGAAAGTTTCCCATCACAAGGGTGCAAGGTGTTACTTTTGTATAAATAAGATGAAATTCAGATCTGCTGGTCACTGCACGTTCCTCCGATTCTGTGATTGTGAACTCAGTCCCAGCTCTTGACTTCGCTATGCCAACTTCAAACAAAATAGCATATATTGGAGGACTCACAATACAAAGGAAACCTGAGCAATTAAATATGGTACGTTCATGTTCTTAAATCCGTAATATGATTTCCTCGCGTGTCATATAACTGGTCCTACAGACCAATAAAAAAAACCAAACTTGTAAATTCTATTTTACACATTTTGCAGTTCTGGAAGGAAGTTGCTGATGCATCTACG